ACTGGATTGTAGTCTTTATAAATTTCAACACCAGACAGTGTTATATCACGGGTGTTTAAGCCATATGATATAAGCCAACGAATATCAAAAGATCGTTTCAATCAAGTAATTAAAATATTGAAATCGGATGTCATCTACGGTGACGGCACACATCAATGTCCACCCTTAACACTGATGCCATGCCCTTTTGAAAATGTTCCAAAACAAATTGACGCATACAATTGTGGAGTATATATTATATATTACGCATTTAAATTTATGGACAATTCCAAGTTAAGTTTAGAGTTTGATCCTAAAGCTTATAGAGAATATTTAAAGACCTATCTATTAGATAATTCCGAAGACATGATAAATGTATGTTTATACTGTGGCTGGAACTCAGACAGGCACCGTTGTCGACTAAATGATGAATGTGTAGAATGGGTGTCGTGTTCTCGGTGTTGTCGCTGGATAGCCATTAATTGCATCCCTGAAGAAGACAGAATTGTTAATTACGAAATTGACGATTTCTTCTGTTTATTGTGTAAGAAATGATGAAATTAAAATATATAGAAATCATTAGACTAGAGTTAAAGCACGCTACAAATTGCATATCAAAATAGTAATTAAATTACTTAAGTTACTTGATTTATGAACATAGCTTCAAAACACAATTTGTAACCACACCAGTAATGCATTGAATATATTATTTGACTTTAAATTTAATTTATTCATGCATAACTGACAGTCCGCAGTCTGATTAAAAGTGGGACGGCATTTTGTGTTTTACTCAGGTATTTAATTTATATATTTAATGCATGAGAAGTATAACGTACTGTATATATTATGTAAACAATCCATTCATTGTAGAAGTCAGAACTTGTATCTTCATCATAGCTTTTCATCTCAAGTTGTTAGTTCATGACATTTCACTCCATACCATATTTATACACCAATACATTTTCCAAAGCAATATTGTTGTGTATATAAATCCTTATAACTGTAAATAAATACAATTAATACGGTATCAATCATTATGATATGAGTACTTACTAATTTAAGTTGTATGTTCTGGGTGTCGTGTTCTTTGTGTTGACGAAATATAGCGATAAATTGCATTCCTAAAAAAGACAGAATTGATAATTATGAAATCAATGATTTCTACTGTTTTCTTTGTAAATGAAAATTTATAGAAATTATTACCCTATAGAGTTAAGTAAAGCACGCTACAAATTGCACATCAAAATTATAATTAAATTATTATAATTAGTATTTTATGGACATTTTCATTAGATATTAATTATTGAGAAGTTAAAAACATTACCCAAATCACAATAAGATAAATAAGATAATAATTGTTGACATCTCCAAAATACATTTTTGATGAAGTTACATTTCTGAAATAAAAATTTGATTAGAATAATTTGTGGAATTTGTTAAATAGATAATCCTAATCAGTATTTAAAAAGATAAATTTTGTTACCCCAGGTATCCGGGTATTAAGACCTAAAGTTATAGTTTTTCCCCATCGGTACAATATAGATTTAATTGATTCGTATTCAAATTTAATGAAAGCACTAATTACATATTGCTGCATATCATGGTGACAATGAAATGGTGAAAGTTAATTTTTTTTCCAAAAGTATTACTAGACCTTAATTATTAAGAAGTACAAAACATAAATAACTAGGTTATAAAAATACATGATATAAATAATCGATAATGACAAATGTCTGGCAATTAAGAAAGACTCTAGGACGTACACATGTTTAATTACGAAAACTCAAGATAATATTTAAATAATAACTATGACAACTTAGGTCTTTAGTGTTTAGATACTATTTCATAAGTTTTTTAATTATCTCTTGCAGGCTACAAAAATGTTCCCAGAGAACAGATCATCATGATATTATATTGAAAAATATCACTGTTGTGTCAAAATGCAATTATAAAATTGTGGATAAACTTACATTTATATAATATATACTATATAATTTTACACAATGTCAATACAACACTAATCAAACAAAATAAATCAAAAGATTTTAAACTAGCACATACTATTTCCGTAGAGGATACCTACTGCTCAAATAAATGATGTACTGTTAGCTGATATACATTTTCAAAAGCCATAATGCTGTGTGGAAACAATAATATAAATGCTTATAACTGAAATTAAATAAAATTAATACACATTAACTATTATAATATCTATACTTACTAATTTAAACTGTATATGATTCAGACACAATAGGTTTATTTAATGCCTGATTCGTGTTGATGAATACCAATCAGAAGTTTGATAAGAATTACCTCAAGTTGTTGGTTACAAATACCTAGCAGTTATTATGTATATTTACTTTGTATGTATATTCATGTGTTTTTCAGGCCCAGGATGTAGACTAAAATATAAAATAACTTTTATAAAAATATAGTTAAAAGTTTAGATACTGTTGTTTATCATAACCTACCAATAACACATTATTGTAATATTGCAACACTACACAACTACCGTATTTCAGATTGTAAGTCTTTAAAAGTGATTGTTGTAGGTAGTAATAACTTGAGGTTCAGTAACACATTGTTTTTTCAATGTTTTTCGTCTCCCTTGATTCATTATTGTCAATATTGCAATTAGAAATATTTAAACAGTAATGTAAAATAAAATCTACATAGTAAGTGGATAATGAAGGTTTATGAAATCCATCCTGATAGTCACATCGGAACCAACTAATTTATTTTTTCAAAAAATTGTAAGTATCATAGACATATGTCCTAAACATTTTTACTAAAACTAACAAAATTAGAGTGTTGGTCATTGACAAACGCTTTAAAATTTACAGAAATGTAACATCTCAAGAGCCTCAGTTTCAAAGTTAGACATTTTTGTCTTGAAAAATTCAAATAAAAAAATCATTTAATCCAGGAGTTATTTCATATTTAAAGCAACTCTTGTTAAAGTTCTTACATATGGACAAATGGTAATGAGAAGTAGATTGTTAATGCTAATTTTTTCATACAATTTGTGTAACTGTTCATGAGGGTTTCTCGTGTTGCTCATTGTTTAAGATTGTACTACTGGGTGAAAAGAAATGTATTTCAAGATGAAATTGAATTTCCATTCTCATTCTTCAATTGTAGGCGTATACAATTTTTCTCGGTATTTCTTCAAACCAAACTGAAGTACCTAAATCATATTTATATAATTTTAGTAATCATACAGACAATTATATACAGGACTATTCTTTTATCATTGAACACTCATTATTTCAAAAAGTATTAATGGTTTTGAAAATATTTTTTTGTATAGTTTCAAGTTGTTTATTAAAAAATCATGTTTTTAAATTTTTTCTAAGTTTTTACTTTTTTGAATAACATGGAATTTTAATTTCATATTCCAAAGCAGATTTTTTTTCTAAGTATTTTGATACATACAAATCGAATTTGGGACGAGTAGTTTATGAGTTATAAGTATTTAAATTTTAAAGTTTAGATAGTCGGTGAGGAGGGGTACGAGGTACCCCGTAAAATATTTATCCACTACTACGCTTGTCTAAACTTCAAATACTTATAACTCATAAACTACTCATCCTAAATTTGATTTGTATGTTTCAACATACTTAGAAAAAAAAATCTGCTTTGGAATATGAAATTAAAATTCTATGTTATAGCAAAAAAGGAAAAAAAAATAAAAAAAATTTAAAAACATGATTTTTTAATAAAAACGTTTTTTTTTGACAACTTGAAACTATGAAGAAAAATATTTTCAAAAACATTAATACTTTTTCAAGATAAATTCAATGATAAAAAAAAACGCCATAAATATAAAGTTAAATAAAATTGTTTGATTAAATCTTACAAGGAATATTGAATATCTAGATTTTTCAATAGGAAATTATGATGATGTTCCAGGATGTAGTCAATACTATCATGTAAATGTAGACAAAATTTAAAAATATTGTATTAAATAATTATTATAAATGGATCTCTATATAAAAAATATTAATAATCATATGAACTTACCAGGTGAACAAGTTAATAGAAGAGCTGAAATGTATACAGTATTATTAATATTCAGTTTAATGAATATTCAAAAAATGATACAAATTTGAGAAAATAACATAGAGAAATTTGCTTTATCAATAATCGTGATTTGTTAAATTTTGATAACAAATTATTAAATATAATTGAGGTAAGGGTCAGGGACGGTTACCAATTTAAATGTTGGACATACAATTGAGGTTATGTTTATAGATTTTATCATGGTCTTAAAACCATAGATAATAGCATAGACATATGAGACAGTGTCTCTAGACGCTCGTAATAAAAACGGTTTATATCAATACAACTATCATGGATGAAAAACACGGACTAAGATATTTTAGTCCGTGCTGAAAAATATCATATCAGTTTGGTTTGGAATAAACAACAAATTACATTACCACTGGCCGCTTAATTTAAAAATATTAAAATTTTTAATATTATATCACAGAATAAATCAAGAATCAGAATAAATTACTTTTTAAAAGTAATTACTAATTTCTATCGAATAATGCGTTACAGTTTCGAATTATTAGTTACCTACCTACCTATTGCGAATTGACAAAAAAATATATGTATAATGCCGGTATCATTATGTTTACCAATCTAATAACATATAATATATAATATATTTAATTTTTACTCAGCACAGTTCAGTTTTCAATGGATTTGACATTTGAAATGTCTAATTGCACCGTAAATCACGAGAACAGTTAATTAAATTTATTATTTATTTGTTTCTTTTAAATAGGTTGTCTATGAATATAGCTTGTGTGGAAGACTACATTTTATATGATCCTACTATTTTAAATTTTGAACATCTTTATCATTACATATACGCATATCTTTAAATTACAAGACACCTACAAATTAGTAACTCCAATTAATAAAGTGTAATGATGATCAGGAAATTAAAACACATCGAATTAATTTGTTTTTTATATTTAAATTAAGTATTAGTAATTAGTATTTATTTTTATTTATTTTGAGTATAAATTTAAGTACTGCGGTTGCTGCTGTTGCGGTTGCTGCTGCTGCTGTTGCGGTTGCTGCTGCTGCTGTCGCGGTTGCGGTTGCTGCTGTTGCTGTTGCGGTTGCTGCTGCTGCTGTCGCGGTTGCGGTTGCTGCGGTTGCTGCTGCTGCTGTTGCGGTTGCGGTTGCTGCGGTTGCTGCTGCTGCTGAGCAGCCAGGGCAGCCTCCTCCCTTAATTTTTTTGCCAGAGAGATGGCCGCTTTTGCGGCTTTCTCTGCCCTGGCTGCTCTCTTTGAAGCCTCAGCGGCAGCATCTGTGGCCGCCGCAGCGGCACGCTTTGCGTACTCGCAATTTTGGGCGGTATGCCCCCTCTTGAAACAAACTATGCATTCTAGAAAATCAAAGGAATCAAAATTAAAACACATCCATGATAAGTAAATAACCAATTAGTTGGTATCATATGATAATATATACTTACTATTTCTGTTGGGGGCTTTACCGCCACCACGACCGCCGCCGCCACCACGTTTGCCGCCGCCACCACGAGCGCCGCCGCCGCCATAATTATATATATATATGTAGACATCTAAACATAAGTTAAATTATAGGCATAAAGTTTATATAATAGGTACATGAGACAAAATAATTCAATATTTATACACTATACCTACTGTCTATACTACAATTAGTTAGTTATTTTTATCAAATTAATGTTGTTATTTTGGAATATAAATATTACGATGAATGATTTCGATTTTAAAAATAGAAATAATTAATTTAACAATATTTACAACATGATCAATATTAGTTGTATATTCAACCACAATAGGTACGCTGAAAGTTAAATACTTGGTTATCCTATTTACCAATTAATGTAATAAATTTGAATTTATACTAACCAAGGAAAATTAACTGTTATTTTTAAATTGTACAGAATTAAGAGGATGTAACACCGACATTTGTTGTCTCCGTCTTACAAGTGCATAACATAGCACATTTACGCTCAGCAGAACACGTGTAGCTTCGTCAGTTTGAAAATTAGAGTGAATTGACCTATTATGAAACTTAATGGTAAGAACATTATCTATGTTTGTATGTTGGTTTTTTACGATAGTTAAATTTTTTAGCAAGTATACGTATACAATATACCATAAATTAAAAATGCTCATAACTACGCGGCGGCGGCGGCATAATAATATAATATTTATTAATAGCGGCCAACAATAGAAATACATAGTAATACAATACATAGTATTAACCATTTTGTGGTTTATCTAGCTATTTTTGAATTATTTCCCCCTATTTTCGGCCGTCGATCATCGCTTATTGTATATTATAATATTAATTATATTTTTAAATTGAATTATTCTTTCTAGCAAGGCACGGTCCTGAGTCCCGATGATCTATTATTGTCATTGTTATTATTATTCAAATAGAATCCGTTTTAAATAAATAAATTATGTTCCCTATACAATACTAAATGTATTATTTGTTATACTGTTATGGTTATTACAATGAATACCTACTTGCAGTCTGCAGTATTCATTTTGTGGTAGGCGGTAGGCTTATATTCTTATTATTAAGCCGCATTCCTACGACTGGTGTACTTGGCCAATCTTTCTTGATAATTTTCCACTCTTCCGAGTTTTGAGGAATCTTAGAAATTATATTTACAATGATAATGTGCTTATTTTTCATCTCAGTGGGTTTCCTATAGGCTATAACCTACTAAAATAAAAATAGTTTTAAAATAAGATTTAAAAATATTATAACAGACATTTTTTTAAAAGAAAAATGTTATTTAACAGAATCAGAATTCGTAACACGTCGATGGACAGTTTCGTGGCCGCAGTGGAAAAAAGACGAACTTTAAAACGTCAATTGTCATTACTGCTATAGCCAGAGCCGGTGTAACAGGCGATTTTTACTCCCTGGAGATTTTTACTGGGGGAGTAATAATTATCGGGAGTAAATATTTCCTATACTAACAGGCGATTTTTACTCCCTGGCGATTCTTACTGTTGGAGTAATAATTATCGGGAGTTAATATTTCCCATACTAACAGGTGATTTTTACTCCCTGGCGATTTTTACTGGGGGAGTAATAATTATCGGGAGTTAATATTTCGGATTTCCTATATTATACTAACTGGTGTATTTAATCACTGGTACGATTTCTACTGTGGGAGTTGTAATTATCGGGAGTAAAAATTTTTTGTACTAACTGCAGGCGATACTTACTGCTTGTCGATTTTTACTGGAGGAGTTATGATCGTGGGAAGTAAATAATATTATTAAATAATAATATTTATTTCCTATACTAACAGGCAATTATAACTTTCGTCTCCCACAACCAGTCTTATTTAGAATACTTTTAAATGTATTCAGAATACTTACCTACCTATTTAACTTTTATTTAGTTCAATAATTTCAGATTTAACATATCTATAACTATATTGTGAAGTTAAATTTCAGCCAGGTAGATATTATGCATTTTAGGTATTGTGTCATCTGCGTATTTAATGAAATTTTAAAAATTCTTAGAAGCATTATACTTTCATAAAATATTATTTTAAAGACCAATTTTTAAAATTGTAATACCTAGGTATATAAAACGAAAATATTTTTCTTGAAAGTGTGAAAATTGAATACAATGATCCTGATATATTGTTACAATAGCAGTTGAAAAATATTAAAAATACGCAGGCCCAATTTTTTTTATAAGCATTTAAAGAACGAATTTTGACAAAATTTATCAAATTTAAAATTGAATAATTATTTTTTAGTTAAAAATGTATAAAATGTTTAACTTTTATGTCTAAGGATTGAAAGTTTAAAACAAGATTCCACGTATAATTCCAGTTAATTCTGTTATCAAACAATCTAAAAAATACACAAGCACAGTTTATTTTAAATTCAAATTTGGACGAAATTACATAATAAAAAACCTAGAATAACTATCTTAGTTATTTTGTTGTGGTTGTATAATATCATTCGTGGCTACTTGAAACTTCTAAAGTATACTACTATATATCTATGATAGTATCAGGGTTTGTTGTTGGTGTATAACGCGTTATAAGTACCTAATGGATATTGTGATATGATTAATTTGGAATTCATTATAGGTCAATTTTTTTTTTAATACCATAGATATGTATATAATTTGTCTTAAACCTAGACTGACATACCGTCTTCGCTCTGAATCGTTTTTCTTATATAATGATATTGTATCATTGAATTCAAATTTAAAAGCATCCATTATACAGTGACCCACTTGAATATCGATATCGTGCATACCTACATTTATAGTAATCTCAATATCAACGGTAAGATTTACTCATACGCTGATGAGTGATGACACAGCCATTATAGTAGGTACTAGGTACCTGACTCTGGGATACAACTTAAAATAAATGTAAAGCTTATAATATGTTAATAATAGATAAGTGTTTTTCAATTAATAAATTATGTCAATTAGACAAAAGAATGTAATAAAAATCATCTTAAATAAACAGAAAACTTTCCCTTCTTGTGAATTATTTAAAATGTTAAGGGGGCTGGAGCGTGAATAATTTTCGGTCGAAAACATAGTTCACGACTTCAATCACTACGCCCAATATTATAATGTTCTGATATTAATTTTGAAAGCAGATTTGAATTAGTCGCTAAATTATCTATGCTCTGACAATTTTACTTTTCTGATTTATTTATTTTTACTTAGAAATTTAGTAACAAAAAGTGTAAAAATAGATTATAATATTATTCATAATTAAAATTGAAATATATTGATACAGAATATGAAAAATGTACGACAATCAAAGCATAGTAAATTTAGAGGAGAATTCAAATCTGCTTTCAAAATTTAAATCCGAACATCCTACTGAGCGTAGTGATTGAAGTCACTGGCAGTATTTTTTGAAAAAAAAATGTTTGTAATTTTATAAAGTAATAAAATATGGTGACATACTGACATGTGCATGCGCGTAGGTAAAATGACAGACGTATTATGACGCGCCAATACAACGTGATCGGTACTATGAATTACACACTCATGTTCATTTACTTTCAACACATTCACAAGACCCATTTAACTTGAAATATAAAATGCCTAATTTTTACCCCTTAGAATTGATTACGCTCCAGCCCCCTTAAGAGTACTTGATATTAACAATTTATATAAGAAAAACATGCAATATGCTTGACCTATTTACAAAAATAATTTATTTTATTATTTAATACTAAAAATAATCTTGTAATACCATTCGTTAGCACTAAAAAATCTTCAATGTCTTCCTTACAAGTTGGCTTAAGGTCTCTAAATATAATTGCAAAAGAATTACTAATTTACATAACCTCTAGAAAAAATAACTATTTTTTTGTAAAATATGTATTTATGTGTATTTCTATAAGATAGAAGACAAAAAAAAATACCAATGGGAAATTGGTTACAACCACGATTCGAGGTATTCATAAATCGTAGTTACAACGAATACAATTACTTACCCATATTATTATTAATTATTATCATAATATTGTCATCAAATTATTATTACCATAATACTATACTCTACGCTACGATTTATAGGTAGTTGATTTTAGGGTAGGATTAAAATACGACAATTTGTATATACTTTTTTTAATACAACATTTTTAGGAATTTAGGGGATAATATCAAACATGTGGAAAGTCTTTTTTGCAGTAGACTTGACGACAAATTCAAATCTGTTTTCAGAATTCTTATCGCTACAATAGATCAATTGGAATGTTTGGCAAAAACACGTCTAAAATACTATGTATCGTATAAGTACTGTGTGTTAGACAAATACAGAAAATCACGGTATCGAATCTCCTTAAATCGTAATAGTTAATATATTTGTTTAATTTCGGTCAGTCTTTATTTACCACATATTAGGTAACCCATTACCTATATTATTATAATCTGTATTCTGTACGTACATTTCTCTCACATAACAAACATTAAAGGTATATTAGGTAGGTAGGTACCTATCTCAAATATAAAAACGTACTACAGTTCGGTTAATAAAATGACAAAAATGATAGACAGACCGAAGGATCTGAGTATCTGACATTCTGACCGTCAAAAAGTAATGACTAACGATCATACCTTGTTGTTTATATTATCATGGTTCATGGCCCATGGGTAGTGTTTGAAAATTTCATGAAATTTAAAAAAATGAAATATTTCGTGAAATATTTCATGAAATATTTCAGTATTTTAATATATTTTGTTTTATTTTTAAATAATTTTTATATTTACATATAATTGTCATAAATTACCTTCATCACTATATGGTACCTGTATGTATACCTAACCTTTGGTATTATACATTTAAATTGGTATTCAAAATGTTTAAATATTTTAATGTTTAAATGATACAAGTAGGTATACAATATTACAATATTAT